AAAGCTTTTATTTAAAGAAATTTAGAGAAATCTGAGGAGAGAGAAAGAGATACATGTTCAGGGCTGGAGCACAGGGGATAGGGCATTTGCCTTGCACATGGCCGACCCAGGTTCGATTTCCAGCATCCCATATGTTCCCCTGAGCACTTCCAGGAGTAATTCCTGAATGCAGAGCCAGGAGTAACCCCTGTGCATCGCCAAGTGTGACCCAAAAAGAAAGAAGAAAAAAAACACACACAAAAAAACCCAAAGATATATGTTCAAGAGATAATATGGGTTTCTCCAGAGGAGGAAATATATCTTATCTCGTTTATTTTTAATTCTGGAGGGGATTGGGCCACACCCAATATTCCTGAGGTGCTCCTTCCAGCTCTGTGTTTGTGAGAGGGTCACTCCTAGTGCTGCTCAGGGGACCTTGTGTGCCAGCAATTGAACCCAGACCCGCAAAGCCTGTACTCCGCCCGTGGAGCTGACCCTCCACAGTTTGTAATTTTTTTGTTTTGTTTTGTTTTTGCTTTTTGGGTCACACCCAGTGATGCTCAGGGGTTACTCCTGACGGTGCTTGGGGGACCATATGGGATGCCGGGGATCAAACCCAGGTCATCCGCGTGCAAGGCAAATGCCCTACTCACTGTGCTATCGCTCTGGCCCCCAAGTTTGTAATTTTGGCTTTGGTATGGAGGGCCACACCTGGCTGTGCTCCGGGATCATTCCTGTATCTGACCCCTCTTTGAACCCTCAGCATCTCATATGATGTTTTGGGCACCACTAAGGGATCACTTCTGAACACAGAACCAAGAATAGTCCCAGAGCACCACCAGGTGTGGCCCAAACTCCCACCCCTCACCTTCTACCCCAAAGAAAACAAAGAGAATAACAGGGCTGGAAAGATAGCACAGAGAATTGGGATGATAGTACAGCAGGTAGGTGCTTGCTTTGTACGCAACCGACCCAGGGTACTATCCCCAGCGCCCCATATGGTTCCCCAAGAACTGCCAGGTGTAATTCCTGATCACAGAGCCAGAAGTAACCCCTGAGCATGGCTAGGTGTGACCCCAAAACAAAAAACAAAACAAAACAAAAAAGATAGCTCAGGAGTTATGGCACTTGTGTTGCATGGAGTCAACCAAGGTTTGATCCATGGTCCCCTATGCCCCGCCAGGAGTTCCTGAGCACAGAGCCTGGAGTAAACCCTGAGCACTGCTGGGTGTAATTCCCACCAAAAATAATAAAAATAATAAGATAAAGGACAGAAATAATAGCAGAAGAATTTCCTTCCTTTAGTGCATTCGCAGGAACTCTGGGAACTCCGGCCCCTGGCGCTCACCAACCAAGGAAGCCTGTACTGGCGCCACAGCCAAGAGCTGCAGCTCTCAGCTGGCCTGGAGATGATTCGTCTCCTGGGGCAATTGTCTCTGGGCGGGCCTGAGAGTGCAGTGGGGGAAGGAGACTTCCTCAGAGGCCACGTCGGAGCCGGAGCAGCTCTGTGGGGTACCTTGCCTGCTTCCCGGGGGCAACCCCGCACCACACAGGTGAGACGGCATCAGATTCTGCTTCTTACACGATGTACAGCACACTCAACATGTCAGAAGGATTTGAAAGGCAGAGTGCATCGATCTGGCCCCCCCAAATTGAAATTCGGGGTCCACAGGATTAGAAACCCAGAATGCACCCACGTGAGGAACAGAGTGTGTGTGTGTGGGGGGGGGGGGGAGTTTGAATTGAGAGAAAAAAGAATAAGGAGGAAGTAGCGGCTTCAGTAACGGTGAAGATGTCACCAAGTAAAATGGCCAAGTAGAGGCGTCACAAAAGGACAAGACGCAAAGGAGAAGCAGGGAAAGGCCTTCAAACAGGATTTTCTCGTTTCTGCTGGCCTTGCGGAATGTTCCACAGTTCTGGCACAGTGGACACGGCCGTTTTTCTGCCCTGGCCTGTTCTGGCCCTATCTTATTTTATTTTGATTATTTGATTTTGTTTTTTGTAGTGCTAGGGTTTGAACTCAGGACCCCAAAGATGTGAGTTATACCCACTATGGGACCACATTCCTAGATTTCTGGCCCAGTTTTAAAAATGGTTTTAGGGATTGGAGAGATTGTACGGGGAGTACCAGGTTGGAACCCCAGCACCATGGACTGTGGCCCCCCAAAATAAAATGGTCCTAATGAGGGTGACTTTTCAGAAGCATTACAGAATATTATTGGGGCATCAGAAGACCTCTTTTGTTTTGTCTGTAGTGAAGCTAAATAGTTTTCATTGAAAGAAATTTATTTAGAAGTGTGAGAAGAGAGAAAGAGAAAATACATGTTAAAGAGAGAACACAAGCTTAAGAAAAAAAGCCAAGAAAACCTAGTTTTGCATGTATGTGTTTTTTAGATTTTTGTGTGGAGTGCTTACGGGCTACTCTCGGCTCTGTGTTCAGGGCAATCTGGTGACCAGTCCAGGCCACCACAGGCAAAACTGTGCATTTGCCCTTTCTGCTCTCCCAGGCCCCTGGTTTTATTTATTTTTTGTTTGTTTTGTTTTTCTCGTTTTGGGGGTCGATGCTCATGGGTTACTCCTGGTTCTATACTCAGGAGTTACTCCTGGCGGTGCCTGGGGGACCATATGGGATGCTGGGGATCAAACACGTATCAGCCGTGTGCAAGGCAAACAAACACCCTCTCCACTGTACAATTGCTCCTTTCCCAGGCTCCTGGAAATCTTAGAGTCAAATTTAGACTTCCCCAGTGTCCTCCTAATTGTCAGTCAGCAATTTTGCCACTTAAGGTAAAATCGCTGTTTGACTATTTTATTTTATTCATTGATGAATTAATCAATTTGCACCACCTTTGATATATTTTTAAACCCCCCCCCCCCCCACACACACACACACAGACTTTTGTTGGCCATGCCTGGTGGTGCTCAGGGCTTACTCTTGCTTCTTTGTTCAGGGATCACTCCTGGGGGTGCTCGGGCGGACCCTATGTATTGCGGGGATGGAGCCTACATGCAAGGCAAGCACCTTCCCTGCTGTACTACGGCGCTGGCCCCATTTGTTTCCCTGTTGCTGTTGCAGTGACCAAGGGCTGAGAAATGGCTCAGAAGACTGCACTCAGGCTTTCCCTACACTTTGGGGAGTACACCTGAGCTGAAAGGAGTCCCATCCATCTCTTGACTATGGTGTTAGTAAATGACCTGGGGTCAGGTTACCCTTTTCCAGTTTGTTGTGCTTCCACACATGGGGTGCAGGAGAGTTTCTGGGTGGGTCATAGCACTTAGCTGTGGTGCTGTGTGCTCACACACACACACACACACACACACACTGAGAGGTCACTTAGGGTGTGCTGAGGGCCCCATGGGCAAAGCCTCGGGGCCTGGTGAGGCTGGACGGTATCAGGCCACTGTGCCCTGGCCCCTTGGCAGGTTGTCAGTGATTTCAACTAGTTGTTAACTTTGGTTTCATTTCTCCATTCACAAAGTCAAAAATTAAGTTTATGCAAATTGCTGTCACCATTTTCTTGTCCAGCATATCTTCTACTTTTATTTTAATTAATTAATTTTTGTATGGGCTGGAGCGATAGCAAAGTGGGTAGGGCATTTGCCTTGCACACGACTGACACGGCCGACCCGAGTTCGATTCTTCTGCCCCTCTCGGAGAGCCCAGCAAGCTACCAAGAGTATCTCGCCCACACAGCAAAGCCTGGCAAGCTACCTGTGACGTATTCGATATGCCCAAACACAGTAACAAGTCTCACAATGTTACCTGGCCTGCTCGAGCAAATCAATGAACAAGAGGAGGACAGTGACAGTGAATTTTTGTTTGTTTTTTGGGTCACAGCCAGCTGTGCTTGGCTTACCCCTGGCTCTGAGCTCAGGGATCATTCCTGTCTGTGCTCAGGGACCATATGGGATGTCAGGAATCAAACCTGGATCGGACGTGTGTATTTGTGTGTGTGTGTGTGTGTGTGTGTGTGTGTGTCAGTGTGTGTGTGGCAATTGATCCACCTGCTATACTATGGTGCCAGCCTCTCATCTGCTTTTAAAATGCATGTGAGGGGTCAGATAGTACAGGGATTAAGGTGTTTAATTTGCATATGACTGACCATGCTTCAATCCCCTGCACCCCAGGGGTTCCCTGAGCCCTGCCAGAATCACTGAGCACAGAACCAGGAGTCTGCCCTGAGCACAGCTAGCTGTGTGTCCCAAAATCAAAAAGAAAAGAAAAGAATAAAAAGAAATAAACATAATGCATTTGAGTGCCTTGTAGATTGTCTCTTGGTCAGATTTTGAGATTTTTTTTTTTCTTTTTGGGTCACACCTGGTGATGCACAGGGGTTACTCCTGGCTCTGCACTCAGGAGTTACTCCTGGCAGTACTCAGGGGACCATATGGAATGCTAGGAATCAAACCCGGGTCAGCCGCGACCACTGTGCTATCTCTCCAGCCCCTTGAGATGTCTTTTTTTTTTTTTTTTTTTTTTTGCTTTTTGGGTCACACCTGGCGATGCACAGGGGTTACTCCTGGCTCTGCTCTCAAGAATTACTCCTGGCGGTGCTCAGGGGACCATATGATTTGCTGGGTCTGTCCTGTGCAAGGCCCTACCCGCCCTGCCCGCTGTGCTATCTCTCCAGTCCCTCCCTTGAGATGTCTTTATTAACACCCCTCCTTAGCAAAATTGCTTTAGGGCCAATTATGTAAGTGCCTGAGGGGCACAGCCTGGGGGTCCTGGTATGCGCATGGGTGTTGTCTGAGGACCACAGAACTTGAGAGGCTGATAGAGGGTGCATCTGGGGACCTGGGGGTTGGGGGAGGGGAGGAGACAAGGCCCAAGGCTGGAGCCTGCCCGTGCTCTCTCCGTTATCTTCACCTCCCTGGTCCGTAACCTGTGCACGGTTCAGGTTGGGGCTGGTGAGCAGTCGCTGAGCTAAGTGGTTTAAAGTCTGTTCCTTATCTTTCCCCTGGCAGGGACCTGCTGTGTGGCAGTTGTGTGCTTGTGAGACCAGGGACCAGGTGTCTTCACCATGGCTTACGCTCAGCTTCTCACCCAAGTCAAGAGCTGGCTTCGGATCCACAACCTCCTGGCCCGACAGTGCTTGGCAGAATTCCTGGGCGTGTTTGTGCTCATGGTAGGCAGGGGATCTGGGGGAAGAACAAAGGGAGGCAGGCAAAAGGATTCTGGCCCTTCCTGATGTCCCTGTGTCCTGGGGTCCTTCTCTCTTTTTCCCTGTGTTCTGCTTTATTAAACTCCGCATCATTTCTGCCCCACTGTTTCCTTAGCTATCCTCTGTGCCCTTGTTCTTGATCCTTTTATCTCTCACCTTCCTCTTTTTGAGGGGGAGGGTGCCACACCTGGGGGGGCTTATTCCTGGCTCTGTGCTCAGGGATCCCTCCTGGTGGGGTCCGGGGTTGGGGCACCATAGGTGGTGCCGAATTGGTGATATTCAAGGAAATGGTTCAAGGTTGAACCTGGGTTGTTCGTGTTCAAGACCGGCACCTTACTCACCATGCTATCTCTCTCTGACCCCTCTTATTATTACTTTTGTTGTTACTTTGGGACCACACCTGATAGTGGTCAGGGGTGACTCCTGGCAGTACTTGGGGAGACCTTACGTCAGTGCTGGGGATTAAGCTCCTGCCAGGCATGCACTCAGCTCTTGGTGGTGTTTTCCCTGCATGATCTTTTTCTTTTGTGGTGTGTGTGTGTGTGTGTGCGCACGCGCGCACGCGCAAGACACCCAGTGGTGCTCAAGGAGCACTCCTGGTGGGGTTTGGGGCACTGTATGTGGTGCCAGGGATCAAACCCAGCTGAGACACAAGTAAGGCAAGAACCTTCCCCAGTGTCTCCTGACCTGCTCCTTCTCTCTTTTTACTCGCCTTCCTCCACATCTCTTCTCTCTTTCCCCATCTCCCCCGAATTCTCCCTTCCTTGCTGATTCCTCACATCCATTCACCCCTCCTGTCTGCTTCCTGTGCCCGTGGGTCCAGCAAAGGCCCCCTCTATCCCTCTATCTCCCCACCAGCTCATCACACAGGGGGCTGTGGCTCAGGCCGTCACCAGTGAAGACACCAAAGGCAACTTCTTCACCATGTTTCTGGCTGGTGCCCTGGCTGTGGTGGTAGCCATCTACGTGGGTGGCAATGTTTCAGGTGAGGCTATGGTCAGCTGCAGGGGAGAGGTAGGTCTGTGGGAGTGCAGGTGTGAGGTGATGGGGACAAGGCAGAACCTGGGGTGACTCACAGAGTTTATCTCCTGGAGCTCTGACAGAACTCTGGACTAGTCCGGGCTGCACTCTGGCCCTGTCTAGCCCCTCCTTTTTCTATATCTCCCCCTCCCGCTTGCTCCAGTAAATTCTCCACTCACCTTGAGAGACAGCGAGAGCCAGGCTTCAAAGGCAAGTGCTGGGCCCAGAGAGAGAGCATGCACCGGGCTGGAGACCCGGGCACTGTGTGGTAGGAGTGGCCCCTACGCCAGCACAGAGCAGTTGCCTCTGAGCAACACTAAGTGTGCCCCCAAAATCCAAAGGGAGAGGTGGGGGTGATAGTACAGCAGGTAGGGTGTTTGCCTTGCATGTAGCCAACGTGGGTTCGATCACTGGTATGCCATATGGTTCTCCAATCTCTGCCAGGAGTAATTCCTGAGTGCAGAACCAGGAGCAACACCTGAGCATTGCTGAGTGTGACCCAAAACAAACAAACAAACAAAAAAATCCAAAGGGAAAAAAATAAAAGGACCGTAAGGTGCTTGTCTTGCACGTGTTGTTGAACTGGGTTCAATTCCCAGCTCTGCAGAGGGTCCCCAAGCTCTGCCAGGTATCAACCCTGAGGACTTCCAGGTAAGACTCGAAAACCAAAACACCTCCAAAATGAGATTAAACAAAAAGGGCTGGAGCGATAGCCCAACAGGCCGACTTGGGTTTGATTTCCAGCATCCCATATGGTCTCCCGAGCACCGCCAGGAGTAACCCCTGTGTATTGCTAGGTGTGACCCAAAAAGAAAAAAAAAATTAAACAAAACAAAACAAAAAGGAGGCAGAATCATAGAATCATAGTACAATGGAGAGGGTGCTTGCCTTGAGTGTGGTCAACTCGGATTTGCTCCCCAGCATCTCGAACGGTCCCCTGAGCACCACTGGGAGTAATTTGAGTGCAGAGCCAGGAGTTGACCCTGAGCACCACCAGGTGTGCCCCCAAATAGATAAGCCAAGGCAAATGCTATTCTAACGTGCGTCCCCCCTGGAGTGCTCTGGGGCTCAGGCCCTCACCGCCTTCTCCCCCTGACGCCTCCAGTGTGAGTGAGGAGCAGATCGTCTGGGCTCGAACCAAGGTTTCTCTGTGTGAGGGCAACAGGGATTCTAGGAACAGGAACCTGACGAGACATGACGGTGGTGACAAGAGAAGCTGAGTGGCAGGCCCTGGTGGCAGTGCCCGCTGACTGACACACCTTAAAGGATGGCACTTTCCTTTTCTTGGTCCCTGAAGGCGCGCACCTGAATCCAGCCTTCTCCCTGGCCATGTGCCTCCTGGGGCGCATGCCTTGGGCCAAGCTCCCCATTTACTGCGTTGTGCAGCTGCTGTCAGCTTTCTGCGCCTCCGGAGCCACGTACGTGCTCTACTATGGTAAGAGGGAGTAGGGTTGGGGGTCCCCTGTGTGGGGGTGGGGGAACCCCAGAACGGCCTTGACTGGACTGGATGCGACTCTCCCCACAGATGCCCTACAGAACTATACCGGTGGCAACCTGACAGTCACCGGCCCCAAGGAGACAGCCTCCATTTTTGCCACCTACCCAGCCCCGTACCTGTCCATTAACAATGGCTTCCTGGACCAGGTAGGGGTTGGGGTGGGGAGAAGCGGCAAGCCTCCAGCTTTGCTTCTGGTCCTGGGGATCCCAGTCTGCCTCCCGGGATCTGTGTGGGTGGGGGGGGGGGGTTCCACCTCTGTTTGCTTGTGTGGGGCAAGGTCGGGAGTGCGGGTGGGGTGACCCGGAGGGTTTGGGGAGGAGGGAGCAGGTGAAGCCTGGATCTGCATACCAAGGGAACCTCCGCCTCTGCCAACTGCAAGGTCATAGGCACCTGGATGCTGATCGTGGGCATCTTGGCCATCCTGGACACACGGAACAAGGGGGTGCCTGCAGGTCTGGAGCCTGTGGTCGTGGGGCTGCTGATCCTGGCCATCGGGCTCTCCATGGGGGTCAACTGTGGGTTCCCGCTGAACCCAGCCCGGGACCTGGGTCCTCGGCTCTTCACCTACGTGGCTGGCTGGGGCCCTGAGGTCTTCAGGTGAGCAGCAGTTCCACACACCACCACTGTCGAAGGCTCTGTTCTGGCCCCTGCCCTCACAGCATCCTCCCTAGCCCAGTTCCTCCTTCTCTCTCCCCCCTCACCCCTGCCTCCCCGTTGTGCTGAGGCCCACACTCTCTGTTCCCCAGCACACCATCTTAATTCTTTTTTTTTTTTGACTTTTTGGGTTACACCCGGCAATCTCAGAGGTTAGTCCTAGTTTTATACTCAGGAACTACTCCTGGCAGTGCTCGGGGGACCATATGGGATAACGCGGATCAAACCTGGGTGTCAGCTGCTTGCAAGGAAAATGCCCTCCCCGCTGTACTATGGCTCGGGCCCCACCATGTTACATCTGTGGGACCCAATGATCTCATCCTATTTAGACAATTTCCCAAGAGGCTGGACCAGGCCTTGCCTGGTGTGTGTGTGTGGGGGTGGGGTGAGGGGTAGGGTGGTCTCCTCTCCAGTGCTATGCCTTGGTGGTCACACACTTTTCTTGTAGGGGTTCTTGCACCCCAGGGAATACAATGGGGGAATGCCCCAGTTCTTGGGAAATGGAGCGAAAGTCAGACGTACACCTGGATAACCCAGCTCCTTCTCACCCTTGTCTTGCAGTGCTGGTAACGGCTGGTGGTGGGTGCCTGTGGTAGCCCCCCTGGTGGGGGCCACGCTTGGCACAGCCACGTACCAGCTGCTGGTGGCTGCACACCACCCCGAGGACTTGGCGCCAAATCCGGATGTCGAATTTGTGGACCGCAAAAGCTCAGGCTTATAGACTCTGGCCTCCACTTAGCCGAGGCGACGGGAGAGGGCCCCTCAGCCGCGCTAGTGACAAGATGCTCTTTCTCTTTATGGGTGCGACCGGCGCTTCTCTGTCTGCTCCTCTCGGCATTGCTTTTTCTAAAACTGTGTATGTGTGTGTGTGGGGGGGGAGTGCTAGTGCGGGCTGGGGGCGGTGTAAGAAACGCGAGGCCTGGGAGCCCTGGACGAAGTTAAGATCCCGTCCAGGCCAGGGTTCGCATCCGGCTCAGCGCTTTCCCCTCCCCCCAACCCCGGGCTTCCCGCAGGGCATCTTCTCGAAGCAGCCACCAGGGGGCGCGCGCCGGGCGCAGGGCGGGAAGAGTTCGGGTTCCCGCAGGGTGGCGGGGGTGGGGGGGGGCCGCCGTGCAGCGCGTGGGCGGTGGGCGGTGGGCGGAGGGGGGTCCGCGGCCGCGTGACCCCGAGCTTTCCTCGCTAGCCGGGTTCCTGCTGCCCGACTCTCCGCTCTCGGAACCGCGTAGGCGCGCCCCGAGCCCCCCCCCCCCAGCCCCCGCCTCCGGAGAGCCATCGGGCCGGGAGCCCCGCACCCGGTGGGCGCCCCGTGCGCCTGCGTGCGTGCGTGCGGCCGTGCGCCGGGGGAAACCGAGGCACGGCCGGGCCCTCGCGCTGTAGCCGCGTACGCCCCGGGAGAGACGGCGCCCCGCGGGGCCGCACTCGGGGCGGGGGTGGTTGCGGGAAGCCCGCGCGGGGAGCCCGCAGCACCGCCGCCTCGGGGTGGGGTGGGGGGGGTCCCGGCCGCCTCGGGGTGGGGGGTCCCGGGCGCCTCCGGCGGGGCCGCCGCTCTCCCGGGAGCCGCCCTCCGCGCACCCGCAGCGCCCCAGCCGCGCCCTTCCAGAGCAATAAACGTCTCCGAGCACCCCCGCCGCGGCTCCGCGTTTCTCTCATCCCGGCGCGGGGCGGCTCCGAGCGGTCAGGGCCGCCCCCCGCCCCGCTCGGCCCCGCACAAAGATGGCGGCCCCGCCCCCCGCCGCCCCCCGAATCCCGTCCGCCCCCCGCCCGCGCCGCTCGTCACTTCCGCCCCGCCGCGGCCGAAAGTGACACAAAGTAGCGGGCCGAGCCCGGCGGAGCGCGGCGGAGCTGGGGGGCGGGAGGCGCGCGGGGAGCCCAGCGCCCCCCGCCGCAGCCCCGGCATGGACGCCGCGGGGCCGCCGGGCCGGGCGCCGGGCGCCGAGCGCTGAGGTGAGGCTCCGGGGCCCGGGAAGTGGGGGGGACGCGAGGGCGGGGGGCGCGATGCCGCCGGAGGGTGCGGATGGGGTGCAGCCCGGGTGCGGGGCGGCGGGGTGCTCGAGGAGGGGGGAGAACTGGAGGCCGTCGGAGGGCACAGGATGGGTTGCCCGGGTTGCGGGAGGCGGCAGGATGGGGTGCTGGGGCGCGAGGGCGCGCGCAGCCTATGGGGCAGCGGGGAGGGGGGCGCGGCGCCCAGAGTTGAGCGCGGCCGAGAGAGTCCTGGGTCCGAGGGTTGGGGCGCCCCGGCCTAGGGAGCTGTGCCTCTGAAAAGTGGCACAGCTCCGGTGCTCTGCAACGGGGACGAGCGGGAGCGAGGGGTGCTGCTCCCGGTTCTGCTTTTGGAGCTGGGAGGGGTCAGGGTGGGAACGGGTGGCAGATGAGCGGGGGTCTCGCAGTTACCGGGCCAGCCCGCGGCCCTCGCTGCCAGCCTCCTCGGAAACGGGGGTCCCTCCCCAGGTTGGGACTGGAAGTCCCGGGCGGGCCCTTCCCTCGGTGAGGCTGTCTGCCACCCCAGCTGCTATTTTTATCCCCAGTGTGGCCGCGGGGGGCTGGGCCACGTGGCGGATGGGCTGCAGGACTGAGAAAACCTGGGCGGGCGAGGCTGGGGAGCGGGCAAGGGGTGTCCCCTCCGCTCCTTTCCCCGTGTGCCCCCCTCCTCCAGAGGCGGTCAGGTCTGGGACCAGGCCAACTCTCAGCCTTTCCGGAATCTTAGAGGGGAAAACTGCTTTCCTCCCTATCCGGGTCCAAACTCCTCCAAAACTCGGTTCGGTCACTAACTCCTGCACGGGACCCAAAACTGGGTCTTGGGAAAACCCAGTGTTTCTAGAAGGCTCCCCAGCTGCTACCCAGGACCGGCTCTGCCCACCCCACATCTCTCACCTCTCCCTCTGCTCCCCACCCTCCATGACTCACTCTAGCCTGGGTGGAGGCCTCACCCCCCCCTCCCCCCCAGGGCTTGGCATCTCTGAAATGTGGATGAGGTTTGTCTGCCCAGCCAGGCACCCTCAGCAGCCAGGGCTGGGGCGGGTTAGGGGGAGAAAAGTTCCGGGTCTTGCCTGTCTGCTGTGCCTTCTGGAGGGGAGTGTGGGTTCGTGGCGGGGAGCACTGGCCATGGGTGCCGGCCAGAGCCTGTAATTAAGGAGGTCAGGCAGACGGACAATTAGTACCTCTTGGTGCTGACAGGCAGGCAGGGTGTGCCTATTAGGTGGAGGAGTGACTGAAGTGCTCAGAACCTGGCAGACAGTTTCCCTTGGGGCCAGTCTGGCTCCATGAGTTGGTCTTGTCCATGACAGTTTAGGTGTTCAGAGTGACAGGGGAAGGTGCGTGGGAGTTGAACCCCCTCATGACTGCACTGGGTTTGGAGGGACCCAGGGGCGCCCAGACCCCTCTGCTGACCCAGACGGGAGGAAGTGGTTTGGGGACTGCCATGCAGGAAGTGAGGCCAGCTCCTCTGAAGGGGCCTTCAGGGAAGCCCCAGAGAAGGGGATGGGGGTCAGAAGTGTTTTTGACTAGGGTGGAGCCGGCCCACTCTGTTTCCTGAGGTTCTGCCAGGTGCTTCCTGGCCGCCGGCACCCCCAGCCCCACCCTGGAAAGTCAGCTTTCCAGTCAACACCAGCTCTGCTCCGGCGCCAGGGCGCGTGGGGACAGCCACATGGGGTGGGCAGCGGAGCGCCGTGCCCCTCCCACCAGTCTGCCTCCTCTCCCTGTCCCCCACCTTCCCCTGTAGGACATGCTTTTCCTAGTCAGCTCCATGCACCCCTCGGTGAGGGTGTGTGATTTCAGGGGCCCCGGGAGGAGCACCCCCAGGAGGAGTCTGCAGGGGCATGAGGGGTCACCCTCAGCTTGCCCACTTCACCTGTCTGTCACCTTTCTGCAGGGTCTCCCATGGGATTGCGGGACCTTGCCAGGTGAGATGGCACTGTGTGCAAAGCAGCGCCCCCCAGGTAAGACGGACTCTCAGCTCTCAGCAGAGGGTGACTGGGGAACGGTGTGGGACCTCCACAAGGTTGGGCGCAGCCCTTGTCTCTCTTAGGTCTGCTTAGAAAACCCAACTCTTGCCCTTGACTTCTGGCGAGGATGCTGAGCATCTTTTCCAGGCCCCCGAACTTGGAACTTGGACCCTCTGGGCCGGGGAAGCTGGGGCCCGGCCAGTGCCCGCGCTTCTCCCCGCCCCCGGTCCTGTAGGGCGGGAGGAAGGGCGGGGTCTGAGGAGGTTGCCGGGACGACGCGGGAGGAGCCTCATCCCTATTGGTCGACCCGGGAAGCAGGGCGGGGCTTTGGTCGCCTACGCGGCGCTGGCGGGGCGGGCGCGGCCGCCGCAGTCGGGGCCGGCGGGCGGGGCCGGCGCAGGGGGCGGCGGCGTCCCGAGGCCGGCGGCCGCGGCGGGCATGGCCCAGGCTGCTGTCGGGGCGCGCGCCCGACAGCCAGGGCTTCCCTCTGCGCCTCCGCAGCGCCTGGGCCTCGCCCGGGGGCCGCCGCCACGGTACCGCTGAGGCCAAGGACAGACGGACGGACGGACGGATTGTCCGTCTTGCTCCGCGCATTCCGGCGTCATGACGGTCCCCAAGGAGATGCCGGAGAAGTGGGCTTGGGCGCCCGCTTCCTGGAGCCGAACGAAGACGTCCTGGGGGCCAGGTAGGAGGCAGCCAGCGACCGGGAGCCCCAGGGCCGCCACAGTTTCTCCCTCCAGCGCTGTCCCCAGCTCCCGTGAGGACCCAGCGTCCCGCCTGCCAGGGTCCGAGCCGTCCCCCTCCTTCTAAGGGCACGGGGCACGGCGCTGGGGGAGTTTGGGGCAGTGAAGGGGAGGCGCAGCTGGAGGATGCTTTGGCCCAGGTGAGCTCTGCAGGGGGAGAGAAGAAGACGCAGGGGGAAAGCAGGCTTGGTGCTAAGTAAGCGCCGACTGGTCCGGCTTCGAGGTGGGGGTGGCTGGTGACAAGTGGTAGTGGGTCCTTGCAGGATAGCGCCGTGCTTGGGGCCGGAACTCAATGCCCAGGGTCTGGGGTCTGCCGAGGGGCAGGAGAGGGTTTGCACAGCCCCTACCCCCTCCCCACAGTGGGAAGTGATTGCCGATGAGAGGGGGAAACCTGGCCGCTATCTCCTCCTTCATCTGCGGTCCGGAACCCCACATCCCCAACCCTGCCCTTCCCCTCTTGGAAGATGGGCTTTGGAAGAAGGTGATGTCATTGAGGGCCAGTCAGAAGGCACTGCTGGTGGCATGTGACAAGCGGAGGCTCCTGGAGGGGGGGCTCACACGTGGGGCTGAGATACTGCCGCAGAGCAGTTCCAGGGCACAGTGACCCTCTGCCTCCTGTGCCACCCCAGTCCCAAGGTTTGGGGAGTCAGTGCCTGGGCTGGATAAGCTGGAGTTTCCCCGGGGAAAGCACGATTTCTGTGTCTGCAGCTCCTGTTCCTGCAGTGATGCCCTAACCCATTAATGGCTAAGCTGCTAACCATGTCCCCTTAGCCACCCCCAGGGGAAGGTGCGTTTACTGATAGATGAGAAGAGGTAGAGGGGAGAGCAGGGGAGGGGAGGAGAGAAGAGGGGAGTAATAGAGAGGAGGGAAGGGAAGGTGTAGCATCCTGTCTTCACAGCCTAGAGTGGGCAAAGGATGTGAAAGGTGAACTGGATGGGAGATCCAGGGAGCTCTGGGAATCTTCAGACAGATCCCTGGGCCTTCAGCAGAACCCCCACAGTATGGAGTGAGCCTCATTTTGCCCCTTCTGACCTCAGCATCATTCCATTGCAGAAGAAGAAAGGCGGGCGCGGGCCAATGACCGGGAGTACAATGAGAAATTCCAGTATGCGGTGAGTGTCCTAGCCCTGACTTCTTAACCCGCAGGTTTACCCACAGGGATGTGGGGCCCGAGAGACATTTGGAAGCTGCAGAGGGTCCCTGAACACGTGCAGTAACCACACACAGAAAGTCCGGAGTTTCTGCTGGTGATCTTGTTGCGTTTCTTAGGACATGGAAAGGGGTTGCAGGTGGAAAATGTGGAAGAAGTGTAGCCCAGAGCATTGAGTTCCCCGATCCCAAGTCAGAAGTGGGGGGCGCAGAGCCATAGTACAGGGGGTAGGGTGCTTGCCTTGCATGCAGTTGACCCATGTTCAGTCCTCAGGATACCATATGGTATCCTGAGCCCAGTCAGGAGTGATCTCTGAGCTCAGAGCCAGGAATAAACTCTGAGCACTGCCAGGTGTGGTCCAAAAACCAAAACCAAAACCAAACAAGGAGGGGACGTGGCATACGGTGACAGGCATGCATGCAGTGGGGGGCAGCTCCTTACTTCATCTGCTGCTGTGCTTTTTTTTTTTTTTTCATTTCTGGTTGTTTTTTGTTTGTTTGTTTGTTTTTTGGGTCACATCCGGCGATGCACAGGGGTTTCTCCTGGCTCTGCACTCAGGAATTACCCCTGGCAGTGCTCAGGGGACCATATGGGATGCTGGGAATCGAACCCAGGTCAGCCGCATGCAAGGCAAATGCCCTACCCGTTGTGCTATTGCTCCAGCCCCCATTTTTGGTTTTTGAGCTACACCCAGGGTGCTCTAAAATCACTCCTGGACTTGCTTTGGGGACCCTGTGTGCTGCTGGGATCAAAGGCAAGTGCCTTCCCCGCTGCCCAAGCAATCGTGCTGGAGCCACTGACTCCTTGGATCTTCCTCTTCCCCACCCTCTTCCTTCTTCTCCTCCCCTGCCACCTCCTGTCCCCCCAGGTGAGGGGATGATGGGGCTGAGTCAGTGCTGGTCTCTCTGGGTGGGCTCAGCGGCTGCTTCACCGTCTTCTCTTCTAATGCCGTAGAGTAACTGCATCAAGACCTCCAAGTACAATGTTCTCACCTTCCTGCCTGTCAACCTCTTTGAGCAGTTCCAGGAAGTCGCCAATACCTACTTCCTGTTCCTTCTCATCCTGCAGGTAAGTGGTTGCTACCCCAAACCAAACAGAATCTGGGAGGAGGTAAACATCTGGGGGGCAGGGAGAGGTGGAAGGAGGTGGAAGAAGGTGGGGCTCACAGGCCTCTCAGTCTCACTCCTTTGCTCTTGGCCTCCGCAGCTGATCCCCCAGATCTCGTCCCTGTCCTGGTTCACCACCATCGTGCCTTTGGTTCTTGTCCTCACCATCACAGCTGTTAAAGATGCCACCGATGACTATGTGAGTCTCAGCCCCTGCCCTGGCCCCTTGGGCATCCTGGCCATTGTGGGCTGAATAGGAAGAGGGCAGCAGGAGTGGGGGCACCTCCCAGAGGAGTGTCTGCAGGATGGTCTACACAGGCTCTGGGTCCTCGAAGCCCATGTTGCCAGAGTGTGTGACTCCGCCCTTCCTCACCCTCAGCCACTGGAACTTGTGTGTTCTTTGGGGTGAATACCTCTGTTAATTTTTAAAAGGTGGGCTTGGGGACTGGAGGAATGGTACGGTGGGCAGGGCACTTGCCTTGTATGTGGCTAACCTGGGCACCCCATATGGTCCCCCAAGCACTTGGATCTTCCTCAGCAGTGATTCTGATCACAGACCCCTGACAGGAGTAAGCTCTGAGCACTACCAGGTGTATCCCCAAAACCAGAAAGGGACAGAGGAAGGAAAAAAGGGAAGGGAAGGGAAGGGGAAAGAAGGGAAGGGAGGAGGTAGGGAAGGAGGTAAGTTAATCTCCAGGCTGGCCTGCAGAGTGCTTTCTCAGTAAAGGGGGGTGAACCAAATGCACCTGGGGCCGGGCTGCTCTGAAGTTTCTCCTCTGCCCTCCAGTTCCGCCACAAGAGTGATAACCAGGTGAACAACCGCCAGTCCCAGGTGCTGATTAACGGCATGTGAGTGCCCCGGGGAGGGATGGGGCGCCCCAGAGAAATCCTCTGGCTTCTCCCCAGAGTCCTTGACGCTCTTCTTCCTTTTCGCTCAGCCTGCAGCAGGAGCAGTGGATGAACGTCTGTGTCGGCGACATCATCAAGCTCGAGAATAACCAGTTTGTGGCGGTAAGGGACCAGGTGCCCTGTGGCCGCTGGGGTCCCCCCTTTTGTTTGTTCCTGTTGGCCCTTGCCACTCGGGGATGGCACCTCAGTGGAGCGGGGCTTCTGGGCCACCCCCTGCCCCGCGGCCACCTCCTTTCTAGCCATCCTGGTGCTCTGGGCCAGAAGGACAGTCACAGTGTCGGGGCTGGGGGGTGGGAGGGGCCCCGCAGGCTGCTCACGAGGCTGTCCTCCAGGCGGATCTCCTGCTCCTCTCCAGCAGCGAGCCCCACGGGCTGTGTTACATCGAGACCGCCGAGCTCGATGGGTGAGTCCATGCAGAGCCAGAAGGTTCGGGATGAGGCTTATCTTTTGGAACACCCATTCCAGAGCATGCCTGTTGGGCGTGTACTCATGTTACTTTCTGGGGAGGTGTGGAGGCAGCCCTGGTGGTGTTGGGTGCCCCCAAACTTGGCTCTGGGGGGTGCAGAAGGGAACCAGGACTTGGGGACACTGTCCTTGCAGAGAGACCAACACAAAAGTGCGCCAGGCAATCCCTGTCACCTCGGAGCTGGGGGACCTCAGTAAGCTCGCCAAGTTTGACGGTGAGTGACTGGGAGAAGCAGCCGGCAGGAGGGAGGGCTTGGGTTTGGGATTTAAATTGCACTCTACCCCCTTCTTTGAAGATAGGGGACACACCTGGGAGTGCTCAAGGCTTACTTCTGCTTCTGGGCTCAGGGATCACTCCTGGTAGATCTTGGGGACCATATAGAATCCCAGGGATGGGAATCAGGGTGGCCATGTGCAAGGCTAGTGCCCTACCTGTCTGTACTATCGCTCTAGCCCCTAGTCCTCGATTCTTGATTCAAATTAAGTTTTCGGGTTACTGTAACTAAGAAATTGAAGCTCTGTGAACATAAAATGACTCGCCTGCTTAATGTAGAATCAGTTTCAGTAGGAGAATAGGCAATAAGGAGATGCCAAATCCTAGCTGGATACTTAAATCTTTCTTGCTTGCTTTTATGACCAGACCACACCCTGCAGTGCTGGGGAGCCCCTCTGGGTCTGTACTTGGGAGTCCCACCTTCTGGGACTGTGCCTGTAGTTGGGGGTGGTGCTTTGGGGCGTGCAGTGCCAGGGACTGCCTGCTTTTAGAGCCATCTCACTGCCCCTACGCTTCAGCCACCACCCCTTTATGTCAGGGATCAAACTCAGGGTCTCACACATGTGAGGCAAGCACTTTGCCAGCGAGCCACATTCCCAGCCCCTTGTACTTTATTATTTCTTTATTTAGGCCTTTTTTGGTCACACCTGGTGATGCTTAGGAGTTCCTCCTGGCTCTCTGAAATTACTCCTGGCAGTGCTCAGGGAACCATATAGGACGGTGGGGATTGAACCTGGATTGGCTGCGTGCAAGGCAGATACCCTACCCCCTGTACTGTCGTGCCAGCCCCTCGTACTTTATTTTGGATGGAGGGGGTTTGCATCACACCTGCTGTGCTTAGGGCTTGCTTACTCCTGGCGTGGTTTGAGGGGTCACTCCTGGTGGGCCTTGGGGAGCCTTATGTGGTGCCGAGGATCAAATCCAGTCAGAGCTGTGCGAAGCAAGTGCCTTCACTCCTGTACTACCTGTCTGGCCCCTTGCCTGTGAGCCGAAGGTCAGTTTGGAGCTCTGCGCCTGACAGCTGCCTGCATGCCAGCCTGATGAGAGTCAGGCTTCTCTCACTGTTCATCGGTAGTAATAATGTTCTGCCCTTCTACCTACCAGACCCACAGCATCCTGTCCTGCTCAGGCGGCAGGACTCCCCGCCATCAGTAAAGGCTCATTCACATTTTGCCTGTGTTCGCAGCCACGTCGAGTACTGGTATCAGACGGTGCCCAGGTCTCTGCAGCCTGCCTTTTTTTTTTTTCATTAGTGAAACACCGTGAAGTACAGTTGTAGATTTACAATTTTTTGTGCTTGGGTTTCGATTATACAATGATCAAATACCCATCCCTCCATCAGTGCCCACTTTCCACCACCATGGATAATATCCCTCCCACCCCCACCCCCCACCCCACCCTGCCTCTGTAGCCTGCCTTTCTTACTCTAGTAAATACACCACGGGCATCTTAGGATGGAAGAAATTTACCACGTTCTTCTTAATAGTGGTGTTAATATTTTATAGAATCAATACCTCATTTATTCAGCGAGTCCCTGGCTTCTCTTTTGCTCCTGGTCTTCTGTGGCCCAGATAAGGCTCCAGCAGGAATCACTGCGGCTGTGTTCTCATTTGTGCAGAATGCAGCCGAGGGTCTGTGCACTTTTCTTTGCGGGGTGCCCATATCTGGCTGTGTGCTGGGCTTTCTCTCCACTCCAGGGTGGCACACAGCACTGGGGATCACCAGGGGGCTCCTGCCGCCGGGCTTGTCCTCCCCCCCCCGCAGCAATCTCCCCGGCTGGGTGCTTTTGTCTTCATTCATGCTGCTCCGTTTCTTTCTCAAGAGCTGAACCAGGGGCCAGAGAGGCAGGACAGCAGGAAAGGAAGCAGCTGGCCTTGCTCACAGCTGATTTGGATTTGATCCCCGGCACCACATAGGGTCCCCCAGGAGTGGTCCCTGAGCACAAAGCCAGGAGTAAGCCCTGAGCACAGCCGGGTGTGGCTCGAGTCCCCCACTAGCATGTCCCTCCCCTAAATAAAACCCGTAAAACTCCCGTGGGTTCAGGTGTGGGCAGTGCAGGTCACTGTCCCTCTCCTCCGCGGTGTTCCCACTGGCCCCTGGTCTCCCAGTCCAGCCGTGTATGGGATCGCCCCTTGAAGCTTTTTGTGTGTCCCGTCCAGGTGAGGTGATCTGCGAACCCCCCAACAACAAGCTGGACAAGTTCAGTGGAACCCTGTACTGGAAGGAGAATAAGTTCCCGCTGAGCAGCCAGAACCTGCTGCTGCGGGGCTGCGTGCTGCGTAATACGGAGTGGTGCTTCGGGCTGGTGGTCTTTGCGGGTGAGCCTCCCTGGTAGGCCTGGCGCCAGGGGCCGGGGCATAGCTGCCGCGCGTGCGCAGCTGCTCCAGCCCTCCCTGCCCTTTTCCCAGGTCCCGACACGAAGTTGATGCAGAACAGTGGCCGGACAAAGTTCAAGAGAACCAGTATCGATCGTCTCATGAATACACTGGTGCTCTGGGTAAGGTCCCTCCGCACGGCGCTGGCCCTGACACTGCTCCTTCTCTGGGCTCTGTCCTTGGCTCCCGTCTCCCAACCCCCAGTGAGACTTCAGGGTCATCGGGCTTTAAAGAAAACCTCAGATTGCGTCTGGAGCGACAGTACAGCGAGAAGGGTGTTTACCTCTAGGCGGCTGACGTAGGATCCATCCTCGGCATCCCATATGGTCCCTTGAGCACCACCAGGAGTAGTTCCTGAGTGCAGAGACTAGAGTAAACCCCTGAACATCACTGACTGTGGCTCAAAAACCAGACGAGAAAGAAAAAACAAAAACACCCTCAAAGAATCTTTTTGGCAGTTCAGTCAAAGGCAGGCGGTGTTTCTTTCAGGCTTCCTTTAGACTTGGAAGACATTGTTTAAAACTGCTTAGGAGGGGACTGGAGTGATAGCGTAGTGGATAGTGTGCTTACAGAGAGGGCTCGACCCCCCAGCACCCCATGTGGTCCCCTGAGCCCTGTCAGGAGTGATCCCTGAGCACAAAGCCAGGACCGAGCCCTGAGCACTGTCAGGTGTGACCCAAGAACCAAGAAAGGAAAAAGCTTAAGAGGGACAGAGGGAGGGAGAGAACATAGGTTCAGGTGCTTACCGTGAATGCGGCCCACCCTGATCAGTCCCTGAGCACTGCAGGGCAGACTCCCGTCCACCACACGAAAGCTTAGGAACTGCATGAAGCAAAAGCTGAGAGGGATCTTCCCTTCTCTGATTCTGGGGTCAGTTAGTTCCCAGGGTGAGTCTCCTCTGCTTTTGTGTGGCTCTGATGGGAGAAGTGCAGGGGGTTCTCCACGTGGAGGTTGGAGCTGAGGGTGGTGCCCGACCTCCCAAGCTAAGAGGCTCCCAAAGGCAAAGTTCCTGGCCCCATCTCTTGTTTGCTTATGAAGCCCCTTGTCAGCTTCTTTTTTTTTTTTTGCGCTTTTTGGGTCACACCCGGAGATGCACAGGGGTTACTCCTGGCTCATACACTTGGAATTATCCCTGGTGGTGCCTGGGGGACCATATGGGATGCTGGGAATCGAACCTGCCTCTGCCCCGTGCAAGGCAAACGCCCTACCCGCTGTGCTATCACTCCAGCCCCCCTTGTCAACTTCTGCTCCCCTTTTTATGCCCCTGCCCCCAGTTTGTACACCTGTGTGCAGAGGTGGGGCTAGTCTTTGGGGGCGGGGGCAGACGTGTCTCATTAGGGTCTGCAAGGCTGCAGCGTCGTGAGTGTGCACTGCCCCCTGGTGGCCTGGGGAGTCGGGGGTGGGGGGCCTTATCATGGTTCCCAGCGCAGGCTGAACTACACCCACCTTCTGGGCATAGGAATGGGATTCTTGGCTTTATTTTTAAAGATTTTTGGTTTGGGGACCACATCCAGCGATGCTCAGGGGTTACTCCTGGCTCAGCACTCAGGAATCATTCCTGGCAGTGCTTAAAGGACCATATGGGATGCTGGCTTGACCAAGTGCAAAACTGGCTTGAGTAAGTGCAAGACAAGTGCCCTACAGTATACTGTTTCTCTCGGTCCCTACAAGTTACAAGATTTTTTTTTTTTGCTTTTTGGGTCACACCCAGAGATGCTCAGGGGTTACTCCTGGCTCTGCACTCAGGAATTACTCCTGGTGGTGCTCGGGGGACCATATGGGATGCGGGGAATCGAACCTGGGTTGGCCACGTGCAAGGCAAATGCCCTACCCACTGTGCTATTGCTCCAGCCCCAAGTTACAAGATTTTTAACTATCGAAAACTTTATATTCATGAAGATGCGAATTATGTCCCCGGATACCTTTTAAAAATTATTTTTAACAATCCAGATGAGATAATTAACATTGCTAAAACTTACATTTAAAAAATTGGAGACCAGGCTTAGAGAACCAGGCAGTGCTCAGGGCTTACTCTGCTCTGGGCAGATATCCCTCTGGCAGTGCTCAGGGGACCCTGTGTGGTGCCAGATCTCAAACCTGGGTCAGCTGTGTGCAAGGCAAGCACCCTACCTGCTGTATTGTCACTGTGGCTCAGATTATTATTATTTTTAACAATCTGAATGAGATCATCAACATTGCCAAAACTTATATTAAAAATGTATTTATTTATATTAAATTTTGGAGGGGCTGGAGTGATAGCAGAGCGGGTAGGGCATTTGCCTTGTATGCGGACAACCCGGGTTCAATTCTTCTATCCCTTTCGGAGAGCCCGGCAAGCTACTGAGAGTATCCTGCCCATACGGCAGAGCCTGGCAAGCTCCTCATGGCGTATTTGATATGCCAAACACAGTAACATCAAGTCTCACAATGGAGACGTTACTGGTGCTCGCTCGAGCAAATTGATGAACAATGGGAGGACAGTGCTACCGTGCTAATTTTGAAGCACACCTGGAGGTGTTCGATCCTGATCCTGGCTTTGCAGTCAGGGCTTACTCCTGGTGGTGCTCGGGGACCCTCTATGGTGCTGGGATGACACCCAGGAAGGCCACATGCAGGGCAGGCACCTCCCCCAGTGCTCACTTTCCAGCCTCCAGCCTGAGATCTCCAAGGAGCGGGTGCGAGTGAGTGGTGCCCGGTGGGAGGTTTGCTTTGGACGGCTGCAGCACGTAACCTCCACTTCTTGTTCTTCCCCAGATTTTTGGGTTCCTTGTCTGCATGGGCGTGATCCTGGCCATCGGCAATGCTATCTGGGAGCACAAGGTGGGGGCGCGTTTCCAGGTGTACCTGCCCTGGGACGAGGCGGTGGACAGCGCCTTCTTCTCGGGCTTCCTCTCCTTCTGGTCGTACATCATCATCCTCAACACCGTGGTGCCCATATCACTCTACGTCAGGTGGGCGCCCCCTTGCCCCCTTGCTCCCACCTCAGGCTCCCTGCAGGCTTCTCTCGGAAGGAGCAGTCTTTGGACTTCTAGGAGCATGGGTTGCGAGCACCTCTGGGCGCCATGCCCTCCCCATCAGGGACCTCCAGGCGGGATCTGCGCCTGTTCCCTGCAGGCCTGCTCTGTGCCTGAAGCACCACAAGGCAGCGACTTGGCTGTGTCGGGAGTGGGTCTCCATCCCTCTGGGAGCTTCAGTCTGGCAGAGAAAGTCCTAAGCCTCTTAGGAAGCAGTCTGCGTACTCGTCCCTGCACATGGCCGCCCTTGGTTCAGTCCTCCCGCACCACCAGGAGTGATTCCTGAACACAGGAGTCAGGACTGACTTCTGAGTGTTGCCTGGTGTGGCCCCCAAACAACGATGACAACAGCAGTAAAAAAAGCAGTCAGGGGCCAGAGTGTAGGACAGCGGGGAGGGCATTTACCTCTCATGTGGCCGACTCGGGTTTGATCCCCAGCATCCCACATGGTCCCCTGAGCACCGCCAGGAGGAATTCCTGAGTGCCGAGCCAGAAGTAAGCCCTGAGCACTGCTGAGTGTGGCCCCGAAACAAAATTGAGGTTTCCATGTTACAGTATCATTGTGATTTTTTTCCATCTTTGGGCTTTGCTTTGCTCTTGGTGTTTTGTGTCTCGTTTCCCTGGGAGCCCCGTGGTAGTACCTCGGAGACCCTTCTGTGTCTCCAGGTTATGGAGTGTGTGCTGGGGTGGGGGGCGCTGGACACATAGCCAGCATCTCCCCATCATGTGCGATACCTGGCTCCTGGCTCCTGAGAGTTGCCTGGGACCCCTGGCTCGGCATCCTTCCTGGAGGTGCCAGTGGCCCTGACCATGGCCGGACTCTGTGAGGGACATGGCCATCTGCAGCCACTGTAGCCAGGCTCTGCGTCCCTGGCTCTCAGTGGCGGCTGCGTTGCCGTTTGCCTCGTGTCTCCGAAAGCCACAGAGCCAGGATTGGGTACCCCGGGAGTGAGAGGCGCCTCTGTCCACGCTGCTGCATCCCCACCCAGGGGCACCTGTGTCCAGGCCTGCGCAGCGCCCTCACGATCTCTTTTTCTCTCTCTCCCTCCCCTCGCGCTTTCTCTCGTTCTCTCTGCATGGTTTCTATATTGTTAGCCCTGAGGTAAGCCCGGCTGGAGTGTCCATCCCTGCGCCCTCCTGCTCCTCGCCTGTGCTGCCCCCACCCCACCCGCCCAGGCCCTCCGCCCCAGGCAGCCTGGAGTGTTCAGGGGGACAGGGCTCCGCCACCTCCACCTTGGGGGGCCTCCTCGCCCTGCCCCCCCCCACAAGGGTGTCTGTCGCTGCCACCTGCCGTCTCCTCTCTCTCCGTTCTCGTTCTCTCCCACCCCAGCGGAGGGCCCGTGGCCTGAGGGGTGGAGCCTCCCACATCCCCTTCCCGCCCCAAGCCGCTCCCTGTGTCCCCGCACAGCGTGGAGGTCATCCGCCTGGGCCACAGCTACTTCATCAACTGGGACAAGAAGATGTTCTGCATGAAGAAGCGGACGCCAGCCGAGGCCCGCACCACCACGCTGAACGAGGAGCTCGGCCAGGTGGAGTACATCTTCTCGGACAAGACAGGCACACTCACGCAGAACATCATGGTGTTCAACAAGTGCTCCATCCATGGTCGCAGCTACGGTACGCCAGGCGCCCACAGCGTCTCACATTCTTCCCCCTTCCCTCCACTCAGCCCATTCTGATATCAGCTTTTCTTGTTTTTCTTTTTTTTTCTTTTTTTTTTTTTTGGCTTTTTGGGTCACATCCGGTGTTGCACAGGGTTTACTCCTGACTCATGCACTCAGGAATTACTCCTGGCGGTGCTCGGGGGAACATATGGGATGCTAGGACTTAAACCCAGGTCGGCCATGTGCAAGGCAAATACCCTGCCTGCTGTGCTATCGCTCCAGCCCCTTGTTTTTGATTATTTTGAGGGGAGAGGGAGGGTGGGCCACACCCAGCAGTGCTCAGGGGTTACTCCTGACTGTGCACTCAGGAATTACTCCTGATTCCTGATGCTCAGGGGACCATATGGGATGCCAGGGATTGAACCTGGGTTGGCCGTGTGCAAGGTTTGCCATGTTGGGAGTCCAGATTCTCTCCAAGTCATCTGCTCAGGCCCCTGTGGGTCTGTGGAATGTGACCATGACCTTCCCGCTGTGGTTTTGCTGCTCTGGCCTTGTGGCTGAGCCGTTGGGGTGCTGTGTGAGGCCTGGCCTGGCCCTGGGGAGCCCCACTGAAAACTGCCCCTCAGTGCCAGCCCAGCCCACAGCCCTTGCATGACTTAGTCTGCCCTGGGGAGGAGGTGCAGGGGAGGCCTCTGTCATCAGGGGTCGGGCGTGGCCTAGGAGGCAGCTGGTGGGGGACAGCAGGGCTGGGGTTGGGGCCCAGGGCTCTGGTCCTGGGGCTCTGAGGGCTTGGGGTGCCGGTTACGGGCCTGGGTTGGAGGGTTCCCGGCCTGGAGGCTTCTCCTGGGCTCTGACGCCACTTTCCGGTGTCCCCGTTGTGTACAGGTGACGTGTTCGATGTCTTGGGGCACAAAGCTGAACTTGGAGAGGTAAGGTCCAGCTGCCCCTGGCGTGCCCATTACACAGGTCAGCCTGGCCTGCAGTGCTCGGTTTAGCGGGGTCCTGTGCTATGGACTGGGTGACAGGGAAGCTGGGGAGCCACAGAAGCAGGACTTTGGTCTGTTTATTTTGGGGGCCACACCTGGCAGCGCTCAGGGGCCCTCCCAGCTCCATGCTGGTGAGTTCTTCCTAGTGAGGCTGCCGGGGACCCCAGGTTATGGGACATCAAGCCCCATCCACTCACAAGGCCTGTGTTCAGCCCCTAGGCCATCCCTGAGCCCCAGAAGCAGGGTCCACAAAGCTTTCTTAATCTCATTTATGGAAGTGATGCATTTCACACTCTAATTATGTTGATTGAGAAATCTGCTTCACGATTTTGGGTCATTATTACGGTTAATTTGGAATACCGCAACCCTAATAACGGGCTCGAGAGCCCTCCCGCGGTGGTACTTCAGGGTGGACAGGGACAGGCCAGCCTGGAGACCCTCTCCCTAACTTCCGTCTTCTCACTCCAGAGGCCTGAGCCCGTCGACTTCTCCTTCAACCCCCTGGCAGACAAAAAGTTCCTGTTCTGGGACCCCACGCTTCTAGAGGCGGTCAAGATGGGGGACCCCCACACGCACGAATTCTTCCGGCTCCTGTCCCTGTGTCACACGGTGATGTCGGAGGAGAAGAGTGAGGGTGAGGCAGAACTGGGGGGGTCCCCAGCCTGGCTCTGGGGGTGGTGCAGACTCTGGGGTTCGGTGCAGGGAAGGGGTCCGGGAAGGGCCACAAGCACTTAGGCAACCTGTGGGTCCCTCCCAGGGGAGCTGTACTACAAAGCCCAATCCCCAGATGAGGGGGCACTGGTCACCGCAGCCAGGAACTTCGGCTTTGTCTTCCGTTCTCGGACCCCCAAAACCATCACTGTGCATGAGTTGGGTACGGCCATCACTTACCAGCTGCTGGCCATCCTGGACTTCAACAATATCCGCAAGCGGATGTCCGTCATCGGTGAGGCGGGCACTGGGTGGTCCTGTGGGCGTGCGCGGCTCCGGGGGGCATCTTAGCCTGCCTGGCCTTCTCTGGACTCTCTGGCCCCTACCTTGCTCGTAGTGCGGAACCCGGAAGGGAAGATTCGTCTCTACTGCAAAGGGGCCGACACGATCCTGCTGGACAGGCTGCAGCCCTCCAGCCCCGACCTGCTCAACACCACTTCTGACCACCTGAATGTAGGTGTGCGGGGGGCCAGGGGGAGGTGGTTGTGGCTCTTGGTGTGTGTGTGGGAGTGGCTGATGGGCGCCTCTGGACCCTGCCCCCAGGAGTACGCGGGGGAAGGGCTGAGGACGCTGCTGCTGGCCTACAAGGATCTGGATGAGGAGTACTATGAGGAGTGGGCCGAGCGCCGGCTCCAGGCCAGCCTGGCTCAGGACTGCCGTGAGGACAGGCTAGCCAGAGTGTACGAGGAGGTGGAGAGCGACATGGTGGTACGGGCCGGGCTGGGCCGGGGCAGGGGTGGGCCGTGAGGGCTGGTCTTTGGGAGTGGCTCCACAGCCCCGGGGGTCTTTCAGCTGCTGGGGGCCACGGCCATTGAGGACAAGCTCCAGCAGGGGGTCCCGGAGACCATCGCCCTCCTGACGCTGGCCAACATCAAGATCTGGGTGCTGACCGGGGACAAACAAGGTGAGCGCTGGCAGGACCGACTGGGCAGCCGTGGGAATAGCACAGCAGGGCTGCCCTCAGCACAGCTCCCGCCTTCTTTCTCGGTAGAGACGGCCGTGAACATCGGCTACTCCTGCAAGATGCTGACAGACGACATGGCCGAGGTGTTCGTCGTCTCAGGCCACACGGTCCTGGAAGTGCGAGCTGAGCTCAGGTGGGTCTAGGTGGGCGGGCACCCGTGGCCTGCACTGCCCGAGCGTCTGTTGCCTCCGGCCCGCGTCCCTGAGACCACCTCTCTCCCTGCTGCAGGAAGGCCCGGGAGAAGATGATGGACTCATCCCGCCCGGTGGGCAATGGCTTCAGCTACCAGGAGCAGCTCTCCGCCTCCAAGCTCACATCCGTCCTGGAGGCCGTGGCCGGGGAGTACGCCCTGGTCATCAACGGCCACAGCCTGGTAAGTGCTACAACCTCACAGGGCTTTCAGCAGGCAGCTTTTGGGGTTTGTTTTTGCTTTATTTAGGGCCATACCCGGCAATGCTTGGGTTACTCCTGGCTCTGTGCGCAGGAATTAATTATTCCTGGCGGTGCTTGGGTGACCACATGGGATGCTGGAGAGTGAGCCCGGGTCAAGCACATGATGGCAGATGCCCTCCCTGCCATGCTATCACTCCAACCATTTTGTTGTTTTTGTTGGGGGATGGGGGAGGAACCTCCAACTCTCAAGGACTGAGCCCTGGCCATTGGAACCTCCCCCACCCACACAGGCACCGAGCCCCACCCCTGGGGCTGGGACTGCCATCTTCACAGGGGCTGGGTGCTGCTGGCTCCGTGTGAATGAAGCTCTCGAGGCTTTGTGTTCTAGGCCCATGCGCTGGAGGCCGACATGGAGCTGGAATTCCTGGAGACGGCGTGTGCCTGCAAAGCCGTCATCTGCTGCCGGGTGACGCCCCTGCAGAAGGCGCAGGTGGTGGAGCTGGTGAAGAAGTACAAGAAGGCTGTGACGCTGGCCATCGGGGACGGCGCCAACGACGTCAGCATGATCAAGAGTAAGTGGGGGCCAGGGCGGAAGCCTGCAACTGGGGCGTTTGCCTAGCTCACAGCATCGTGGAGGGTCCCCCGAGCCCCTGGGGGTGAGCCTGAGTGTGGAGCCAGGAGTGAGCCCCGAGCACAACTGTGTGGCCTAAAACCTAGATATAAAACCCCAAAATAAAGTGGGGGCCCCAGGCGGGGCCGGGGGACCACTATGGCCTGCTGAGCTCCCAGGCTGTGTCTGTCTTCACCCTCCCCGCATCTCTTGTCTCTGCAGCAGCCCACATTGGAGTGGGCATCAGCGGCCAGGAGGGCATCCAGGCTGTGCTGGCCTCCGACTACTCCTTCTCCCAGTTCAAGTTCCTGCAGCGCCTCCTGCTGGTGCACGGGCGCTGGTCCTACCTGCGCATGTGCAAGTTCCTTTGCTACTTCTTCTACAAGAACTTCGCCTTCACCATGGTCCACTTCTGGTTCGGCTTCTTCTGTGGCTTTTCGGCCCAGGTAAAGCGCGCTCCCTGGGTGCCCGGCCTTTGAGAGGCGGGAGGGAGGGCCTGTGCCTGGCCTCCGCCCCTAGGTTCGACTCTTGGAGGGGCTGCTTTAGATGCGCGCCCTCCGCAGTGCCTGAGCCCCTCAGTGCCCTCTCTGTTCTCTTCCTAGACGGTCTACGACCAGTACTTCATCACCCTTTATAATATTGTCTACACCTCCCTCCCTGTCCTGGCTATGGGGGTCTTCGATCAGGTATGAGGAGTTTGGGGACCCAGAGAGATGGGTTGGGGAGGAGAGCAGAAGAAAAGTTAAGGGACTTTGGGGCTGGAGCATGGTGTGGTGGGTGGGGCGTCTGCCTTATCCATAGCTGACCTGGGTTCAATCCCCGACGCCACATATGGTCTCCCAAGTACCACCAGGAGTAATCCCTGAGTGCCGAGCCAGGAGTAAGCCCTGAACACTGCTGGGTGTGACCCAAATACCACTCCCCCGCCAACTATTAAAAGCAGCGAGCTGGTACAGGAAGGAAGGCACTTGTTCAAATCCCTGGAACCACATGTTAAACCCTGAGCACTGCTGGGCATGGACCCAAAGACAAAAAAAAAAAAAAAAAAAGAGGAAGAGATGGGAAGGGTGTGCCATGTAGCACATGTGCCTGCTGCCCTGATCCTGAGCTGCCTGGATCCCCGGGGCTGGACGCAGATTTACTGGGGTGCCTGTGGAGGGTTCAGGCTGGCTGTGAGAGAATCAGAGACAGAGGCGGCAGGAGGGTGCATTCAGGGCCGGCTGGGCCTGGAGCAGCCTCTGAGTCGCCCGCCCACCCACCCATGCAGGATGTCCCGGAGCAGCGGAGCATGGAGTACCCGAAGCTCTACGAGCCGGGGCAGCTGAACCTGCTCTTCAACAAGCGGGAGTTCTTTATCTGCATCGCCCAAGGCATCTACACGTCGGTGCTCATGTTCTTCATCCCCTACGGCGTCTTTGCCGAGGCCACGCGGGACGACGGCACCCAACTGGCCGACTACCAGTCCTTCGCCGTCACTGTGGCCACGTCACTGGTCATCGTGGTCAGCGTGCAGGTGAGGGGGCGTGCTGTAGGGAGGGACCCCTGCCCCCGACCCCGGCCCCAGGCAAGAGCCCCCCAACACCAACTCTGCCCTTCCCAGATCGGGCTGGACACGGGCTACTGGACGGCCATCAACCACTTCTTCATCTGGGGCAGCCTCGCCGTCTACTTCGCCATCCTCTTCGCCATGCACAGCAATGGCCTCTTCGGCATGTTCCCCAACCAGTTTCGCTTTGTGGGTGAGTCCTGGGGGCCCCGGCCGGCAGGCCTGGGAGCATCAGCACAGCTCTGGAGGGTGGTCCTGGGCAGCGGCACTGGGCTCGCCCTCAGCTTTCCTGGCAGCAGGCAGGGCTCCAGGGGACCCCAGGGAGCCTGCAGGATAGGGTGAGCCAGGGGATCCCTCTAGGGAGACACAGTGAGGGGGCCCAGAAAGTGTGAAAGGACTCTGAGGGGGCTGGGGCTGCAGCGATAGTGCAGTAAGTCACTTGCCTTGCATGCGGCTGACCTGGGTTCGATTCCAAATACCCCATGTGGTCCGTGAGCACCGCAGGAATGAACCCTGAGTGCAGAGCCAGGAGTGACCCCTGAGCAGCCCTGGGTGTGGCCCCAAAACAAGCAATAAAAAGGTCATGTGGTGGCAGGAAGCCTGGATGCCAGGCTGTCCGGGCGGGGTCTGGTTTGCCAGGTTGTGTCTCCGTTTGTGTTCAGGCCACACCTAGAGTGCGCCGGGATCCCTCCCGCCTCAGGGTCGTAGGGGGCCAGGGGTCATTCCAGTGGTAATTGGGGTTTGGAGGGTCAGAACTGGGACTCCTGCACGCGTAGCACGAGCTCCAGCCCTTTGAGCTGGCTCCCTGGCCCCTGTTTGGTTTCCAGCTGAGGAGAGGAGGGCCAGCGGCTCTGGACACTGAGGGGAGGAGGGGCAGTGCACTGCCGGAGCACAGACTTTGTAAACTTTGCCCCTGTGACCACTTTTCACCCCAGTATTCATTTCTTGCTTTTTGCATTGGGGGCAGGTTGGTCCATCCCCAGAGGTACTCAGAGCCCCCTCCTGGCTCTGCACTCAACAGTCACTCCTGGTGGGACTCGGGGTCAGGGATCTCAGGTGTCAGGGATCAAACCCAGGTTGGCTGTTAACAAGTGCCCAACTGCTGTCCTATTGGCTACTGCCCATCACCTGGAAAATCTTTACATGACCCTGGGTATGTAAGTACCCAAGTCAACACTTCTTGGTAAGAAGTAAAGTTAAAGATAAAACTTTTGTGATCCTACATTAAGTCACCAGATCCCATGTAGCACCATGACCCACAATTTAAGAAACTAGGCTCTAGGGCCTCAGGGGTGGCACAGAGGGGAAGGCACTTGCTCTGCCTGCAGCTGAACCAGGTTCGATCATAGAGTCCCCTGAGCCCCACGAGGAATGAACCCTGAGTGCAGAGCCGGGAGACAGCCCTGAGCACAAAGCCAGGAGTGAGCCCTGAGCACAGAGCCAGGAGTGAGCCCTGAGCACCCTGTGGGCAGCCCATTCCCTCCCAAATGACAAACGAGACAAGGGCCCAAGTCAGAGTTTGGGGTGACGTAGGAACATGAATCACACTTGGACATTTCTCTTTGGGGCCCACAGACGAGCCTTGAGACTGGGCCAGGGGGGTCCATCAGCTGACCAGACAGTGTTCGGGAACCTTCCCAGCCACTGCCTCCCATCTGCTTTGCAGGTAATGCGCAGAACACGCTGGCGCAGCCGGCCGTGTGGCTGACCATTGCACTCACCACGGCCGTCTGCATCCTGCCTGTGGTCGCCTTTCGCTTCCTCCGGCTCAGCCTGAAGCCCGACCTCTCGGACACAGTGAGCACTCAGCTGTGCCCTGTGTGCATGCGTGTGTGCGTGCGTGTGTGTGTGTGTGTACACGGTGAGCACTTGACTGTGCCCTGTGTATGTGTGTGTGTGCTGCGGGGTGCGAAAAGGAGGGTATGGAGGTGGTGAGGCCGAGAGCTTGGACACGGTGAGCACTTGGCTGTGCGTGTGTGTGTGTGTGTGTGTGTGTCTGCGGACAGGGTGAGCACCTAGCTGTGCCCTCAGTGTGTGTGTGTGTGTGTGTGTGTGTGTGTGTGTGTATGTGTGGTGGAGGATGCACGGAGAGGGGGTGAGGAGGTGGTGGGGCCAAGAGCTCGGACCCGGTGAGCTCTTGGCTGTGCCCTGTATGTGCGTGTGTGTGTGTGTGTGTGTTGGTGTGTGTGTGTGCGTGTGGACATGGTGAGCACTCAGCTGTGCCCTGTGTATGTGTGCGTGTGTGTGTGTGTGTGTGTGTGTGTGTAGACATGATGAGCACTCGGCTGTGCCCTGTGCGCGTGTGCGTGTACACGGTGAACATTCGACTGTGCCCTCTCTGTGTGCGTGTGTGTGTGCGCGTGTGTGCGTGTGTATGGGTGGAAGGGCACGGAGAGGGGAGTGCAGAGGTGGCGGCCGAGAGCATGCTGCAGCAGATGGGGTTGCGTGGGGTCGGGGTCTTCCGCTGTGGGGCCATCTGTGCCGTGTCCCCGCCAGGTCCGCTACACGCAGCTGGTAAGGAAGAAGCAGAAGGCCCAGCACCGCTGCCTGCGGCGGGGGGGCCGCGGCGGCTCCCGGCGCTCCGGCTATGCCTTCTCCCACCAGGAGGGCTTCGGGGAGCTCATCATGTCGGGCAAGAACATGCGTCTCAGCTCCCTGGCGCTCTCCAGCTTCACCACCCGCTCCAGCTCCAGCTGGATCGAGAGCCTGCGGCGGAAGAAGAGCGACAGTGCCAGTTCCCCGGGGCCGGGCACCGACAGGCCCCTCAAGGCGTGACCTGGGGAAGCAGCTCAGGGTGGGGTCCAGAGGCAGAATCAAAAGCAGAAGTGAGAACTGGGAGGCAGAGGGGGCTGCCCGCAGGGGCCCGGGGAGTGACCGCTGGGTTGTTTTTCTACTCCTCGCCCCGTTCCTTGAAGTTCACTAGAATGTATCACGCCGGGAAGCGGGGACTGGCCGCGCCTGACCCCGCGGCGCCGGCTCGTCCCCATCTGTGTCTGTGTCTGTCGGTTTGTGTCTCTGTGTCCAGTGAAGGAGGCCTGTTTTTGACTTCATGTTGGTGTCTTAACTCCCCCTGGTAGGGGTAGGCTGATGTTGGGGGGGTGGAGCCTCGGCGCCCACCCGGCCCCTGCCTGGCCCCGCGGGGAGAGCAGATGGAGGGTTCAGTTCACCTGGAGAGGGAAGTGCCCCCCCACCTGGCCCTACCTGTCAACTCCCGGGGTCTCCATGTCCTGCTGGCATTGGGATGGAGCCCAGGCAAGTGACATCTAGCCCTGAAGTTTTCCTGACCCCAGCATCCCATCAGACTTTTCTCACGGGCAGTTTCCAGCCTCACCACCCCGGGGAGGTGGGCAGGAAATTGGCAGCTGGATGCCCCTGGGCCTGGGCTGGAGGAATACCTGCCCCCCCCCCAACTAGGCAGGGGGAGGGGGCAGCTGAACTCTGTCCTTTCTAGTGAGAGACAGGAGGAGGAGGAGCTGGTGGTGGGGTGCAGGGTGGAGCAGGGGTGGGTTTGGGGGCAATGCCCTTTGGACAGGGCTGCTGGGATGGGTCCCCAGGCGGTCCCCAGGCCTGTCCCCGCGCTCAGAACCTGCTCCCAGACTGGGCGTCTCCTAGTGTGGCTCCAGTCAGGCCCGTCTTGGGAAGTTCCTTGTGTCTGACTAGGAAGTTGGGGTTCTCAGGAAGCGGGTGGGGTGTCTGAGGCCCAGACACCGCGTGTGGGGGCCCCAGAGCAGGGTGTGGGGGGAGGGGAGCCCGTGGGGCCACACAGTTTACAAACCCAACATCATGTCTGTCTGCGTGTCTCTCAGGAGAGAGTCTGACTTTTATACCAAAGAGGAAAAGATTTTTTTCATATTTGGTTTGTCTATATTATATATAAATATATATATATACAGTTATATATATATATTATTTTTTTGGTTCTCTCTCGTTTTTCAGGGAGGGAGGAAAGTACCAGGTTGCATTGAGCTGTAATTAAGGAACATTCTGTATAATTTATGACACATTTCTATACTTGCAAAAATTATATCATTTTATGGACATAAGAAAATATTCCTTTTTATAAAACTGCAATTTCTGAGAAGCGTGTGATTTGTCTCCTTTTTCATTTGAGCAGAACCGTTGCTAAAAGCAAAGATCACTGAGGGTGTTTGTTTTGGTTTAGTTTTAGGGCCATACCTGGCAGTGCTCAGGGCTTACTCCTGGCTGTGTGCTGGGGGCATCACTCCTGGCGGGGCTGGATGGACCTATGGGATGCTGGGGACCAAACCATGGATGTTGCAGTAAAGCCAAATTGCAGTAAAATTTTCTAAGAACCACCTTTTTTTTTTTTGAGGCACACCTGGCAGTTCTTAGAGGCTATTCCTGGCTCAGTACCTTGGGGACCATCTGTGGTTCTGGGGATCAAGCCAGGGTCAGCTGCATGCAAAGCAAGTGCCTTAACCTCTGTACTATCTTTTTTGCCCCCAAAGCGGCTATTTGTTGTTGCTATTGTTTTGTGTGTTTTGTGGAGCAAACACTTGGCAGTTGTTGGGGCTGCTCCCTTACTCCCTGCGCAGAGCTCAGGGTGGTTCCGAACAAGGCTCAGGAGACCTTGAGGGCATGCAAAACTGAATCCCCGGTGAACCACCTCCCCAAGCCTGTGAGCACAGCTTTGGACTGCAGAGGGCGATGTGGCCCCAGAGAGGCAAGTCCAGGGACCCCCACCACACATTGCATGGTGGGAGCAGGGCAGGGAAGCAGAGGAGATGGAGAGAGGGGGTGCTGGAGATACCCCAAACAGAGTTTCTTTCCTGAGTTCAGGAGTGACTTTGGGGATAAAGAATATCAGCTCTGGGGCTGGAGCAATAGCACGGCGGGTAGAGCGTTTGCCTTGCACGCGGCCGACCCAGGTTTGATTCCCAGCATCCCATATGGTCCACTGAGCACTGCCAGGAGTAATTCCTGAGTGCAGAGCCAGGAGCAATCCCTGTGCATCGCCAGGCATGACCCAAAAAGCCAGAAAAAAAAAAAAAGAATAGCTCTGGGGAGCCCTAGTTTGTGTCCCCAGAAACCCAGTCTTGGTCCCGTCCAGGGGAGGGCAGCAAAGACGGGGAGGAGGTGAAGAGCGAAGGCCCCAGTGCTCTTGCTGCCAGAGTGATAGTACAGTGGGAAGGCGCTTGCCTTGCACACAGCTGACCCAGGTTCAGTCTCTGGCATCCCATATGGTCTCCTGAGCACTGCCAGGAGTGATTCCTGAGTCCAGAGCCAGGAGTGAGGCTTGATCGTCACCTGGTGTGCATACACCACCCTCTCCTTCAAAAGAAGACTGACTCGTATCTGCTGCTCAGAGCAGGGGTACAGGGCCCCCCAGAGGCAGTTGTTCAGCAAATTGGTGAGAAGCTGTTTCCCCCTGCCTCTCTCTCTCTCCCCTCTCTCTCCTCTTCTCTTCTCTCTCTCTCTCTCTCTCTCTCTCTCTCTCTCTCTCTCTCTCTCTCTCTCTCTCTCTCTCTTGCTGTTTTGGGATCACCAAGCCCCTCCAAGCAGCCCTTCTCTCAGTGTGTATGATCTGTGACCAAGCAGTGTAGTTCCCAGAGGGCAGGGATTGCAAGTACCAGGTGAGGAGAGAGCTCAGAGGGCTGGAATACAGATCTGGCATGTACGTGGTGCCCGGTTATATTCCTGCACAACACTGCCCCTGAACTGAGTGATCAGGCCACATCACTGGGTCCAGTGTTGCTGCTTGGAAAACTAAAAAGTGAAGAAAAGCAAGCACTGGTCAGGGAGATACCTCAGAAGGCGGGTGTTTGTTTTGTCTGAGGAAGCCTGAGGGTTGCTGCGGATCAGACCATGAATGTTGCATAAATCCAAATTGCAATCAACGTTTCTAAGAGTAACCTTTAAGATAAAATTGGAACCACACCAAGCAGTGCTCAGGGTCTATTCCTGGCTCAGTGCCTAGAAGACCATCTGTGTTTCTTGGGATGCTGCATACAAAGCAAGTACCTTGACCTCGGTACTATCTCTTGGGCCCCCAAAGTTACTTTTGGTTGTTGCTGTTGTTTTGTGTATTTTGGGGAAGGTGAGGGCACACCTGGTAGCTTACAGTATCCAGGACTAGACCCTGGGGAGGGGGGGTGGAACGAAAATACAATGGGTAGAGCATTTGCCCTGCATGTGGCCGACTCAGGTTCAGTCCCCAGCATTCCATGTGTCCAGGAGTGATTCCTGAGTGCAGAAGCAGAATAACCCCTGAGCATTGCCAGTATGAACCTGAAGACAAAAAAAAAAAAAAGTAGCCCCTGAGCACTGCTGGATGTGGCTCAAATACAGTGTAAAAAAGAAATGAAAGGAAGGAAGGAAGGAAGGGAGGGAGGGAGGGAGGGAGGAAGGAAGGAGGGAAGGAAGGAAGGAAGGAAGGAAGGAAGGGAAGGAAGGGAGGAAGGTAAAGAGGAAGAAAAAGAGAGAAAGGAAAGAGAAAGAAAGAGAAAAAGGAAGAAAGAAAAAGAAAGAAAAGAAAAATAAAAGAAAGAAAGACAAGCATTAGATCTAATTAGTGAAAAGCTTTGGAACAGGTTTGAGAAGCTTCAGAAGCACATTGACAAGTAGAAAGTCTGTTATTTCTACTTCAGAAAGTTGAATTGAGTCTGGGATGACCATGATGGGAACGGGATATCAAGCAGGAAAGTAGAGAATGGATTGAATGTAAGCTTGGCTTTTTTTCTTTTGGGGTCACACCCAGAGATGCTCAGGGGTTACTGCTGGCAGTGCTTGGGGGACCATATGGGATGCCAGGGATTGAACCCAGTCGGCCATGTGCAAGGCAAACGCCCTCCCCACTGTGCTACCACTCCAGCCCCAGGCTTAGCATTTCCTGCACCGTCTCTGTCCCCCAATAGTGCCCCCGTCCCTGCTCCAGTAACGGGCAGTCAGCCCAGTTGTGAGCTGCTTTGGAGCACATTAAGTGCTAAGACTGTGGACAGCTTTGACTGACTATCATACATCATGAAAAGCTAACCCTGGAATAAGGTGTGCTGGGACTCAGGCCATCCAAGAAGTCAAGGAATCATGTGAAACAGAATCACATGGGAATGCAGAGCAGATGAGACTACTGGTGAAGGAAATGACATTTGCCAGGGAGCAGATAGGGCCCCCCTCCCCATGGACCCTCAAGGGTGGAGGAGAGGCCGCGGAAAGGGAGCAGAGAGAGAAAATACTTGGAATTCTTTGGCAGCATGGAAAAAGGTGTTGTTCGTGTTGATACGAAATGTTCATGTCATAGACCAAGACATTAAAATAAGGCTCTCAAGGGCACGCAGTGCGATACTTGGCCAACCTGGCTGGAGATTCCACGGTGAGGCCTGAGGATGTAGTTGTGAGGCTACATGGACTCAGGGGGCCAGGGACCATCAGGCCTGCCTCGGTGGTGCTCAGGAGCCCCTAGGATCAGTCTGTGATGCTTGCAGCTAATGTGAGACTGGGAATCAAATCCACCATGCATGCACCCTAACCCCTGTACTAGTTCCTTGACCTACAAGCAAATTCCTGATGTTGGACATGGTACCAACAAGGCTTCCAGGAACAAAACACTTGTTGGATGTTACCAATGAAAGGCAGCTCTCTTGTCTTTGCTGCAGATGGTGCGGTCACCAGAGAGGCAAGAGATGCTCTTTTTCTTTCGCTCCTTCCCCCTTTTGGGGCTGTTGCAATGACACAAAAGGGGAAGAGAAAGGAAGAAAAATGAGCACATGACGGGTCAGAGAGTTAGTATAGTAGGTAGGGCACTTGCCTTGCATGTGGCTGACCTGGGTTCAATCCCCG